CTTGTTCCTCTCAAGACTAGGTTTTGACCCACTTTGGAAACCTATTATGTCATCGCCCAAGTTAAGTTTTTCTGAACTCATAACATTCTTGACATCAACCTCGAGCGTACACTTTCTGTATACAAATCTCAAGTCACTAACTGCAATAAGACTAGCTAGTAACCAACTAGAGAGATAGATATCACTAGACATACTTACACTGTAATCTTTATCATACCTTTCAATTTCTACTAATAAACTAACCAATTTTGGACCTATAGTGACCAATAAATATTTTTGAAAACTAAGAGAAAAGTGAACATACATTTATAAAAGTTCAAAGTGGCAGCATAACTAACTTGTAAACTCTAAAAAGTTTTATAAAAGTTGATATCAATAGAAATGCCTAAAAAAACATATAAATTATAATTTATGCTAACACTGATAGGTAAATAGAGTTAGCTAGAATGCACCTTCAGTGGATGAATGTACCTTACCTTGTTTGGGCAAAAACTGTGTTTTTTTTAAAAAGTATTCCTCAATTAAAGTGTAAAGTCTTTGATGATGAAGTCACTAATGAAAGCAATAGTTAGAACAGTAGGGGTAGCAAATCTAATCAGTCTCATGATAAAGAGAAGTCAATCAACGATCAAGAGTTATTTCTAAATCTTTATAAACATAAACACAACCCTTTAAGATAAAGAAAATCTTCAACAGATTGACTTTATAGTTTATATAATTGGCAGGTAAGGAAGAGGCAGGTCACCTATCAGTAATAGTTATGGACGATTAAGGTGGGTTTAGAGTTGGCTGGGATTAAGAGAGCAAGAAAGGATGTCACATAGAGGTTTTTTGGTGAGATGAGAGAGACAGGGAGAAATAGAGAAAGAAAAGAGGAAAAAAAATGAAATTTTAGGTTTTTTAGGTTAAGTTTAAGATAGTAATTTTATAAATAAAATAATAAAAATATATATAATAGAAAAAATTAATTGAACTCGCAAGCTATTCGAGCCAGATACTAATATGTGTAAACGTAACTCATTCAATAAGTTGAGTTACTTAAACTCAAGTTTGGCTCAACAATTATCAAATCAAATTTGAGTTTTAATCAAATTGAATCCGAGTAGCTTGCAAATATTAATATATCATTTACACCATTAATGACAGCCAATAAACCATCAAAAGAATAAAAAAAACAACATGGATGAAGATTAAAAATGCATGAAAAGTAAGAAAGTTACCTAAAAAGCTTTCTTCCATAAGAGAGATTTTATTTCAAGAGTGTTTTTTTTTATGATGGATTTTTTATTGCTCTAAAAAAGACTCCTTACAACCCTATATTTATTTATTTGAAGAGTCAAGGCCTTTCACAAACATTGGATCAAATTACATTCAAGGGTAATAATTCTTTTGTCTTTTATTCAAACTTGGTGCCCATGACTTGCAATATAGGCCATAGGATCATTGTATGTTTTAAATCTAATGACTTTAGAAAATTAAAGCACACAATTTGGCTGCTAGTGTAGCTATCCCAATGAGAAAAAACAATTTTATCCTTATTAGTGTTTTTAAGTTTTTTCATGATTTTTCTAAAATCTTATGATCCAATATTTATTTCCATGATTTTAATGCACCAAAATTTATAAAATAATATCTAATAATGATTTGGAGCCTTTCATAAAAAACTGACCCCAAAAAAGATAAATTACAAAAATACATTTAAAGGACATTTTTGTAATTTCACCATTTTTAATGTGTAATCAAGATTTTTAATATATCAAAACTCATAAAATAAGGTTTAAACATGATCTGAAGTTTTTCATAAAAAACGAAACTTAAAAAATTTAAATTATAATTTTATCCCTTTTGAGGTCCAACATGATTTCTAAGAGCCCAAATTATAATTTTATTAATCCTAAGCTTTAATAATCCTATTCAATTGTGAATTCGAAGGGTTGATATGAGTTTAATCAAGTTTGATCAAGGGGCATTTTAATCATTTTAGCTTTTTTTTTGTTTAAAACTTAAAATTTGTTTTATAGTACTTAAGAATCCACTGACTTGGTTACAAAATACCTCGAATTTCACCATGTTTCAACCAATTTCAAACGAGTTTGACTAAGTTGACTTTAGATTGACTTTTAACTTTTTTCCTTAATTTTTTACTATTTTTTTTGTATTTCTAAAAATTAACTTATTTAAAAATCTTTAAATATTTGAAAATTCTAAAAAAAAATCTTGGACAAGAGTTGGATTCTGATTTTTAAAGCATAACGATTGACTAAAATGTATTCAAATAAAATTAGATATTTACAATAGAAAATTTGGATGGTCTAAGAGAAATAATTAGTATGGTCCATTTGGGAAGAAATTAAAAAGGCAATACATTGGAGAATATAGAAATGGCTAGCCGTTTGTGATTGTGATAAGGGAAGATGGGCATTCATGACATTTCTGAGGCAGGCTGGCCAGCTTAATCCCGTCACTTTTGCTTGCAAACGAATCTATCTAACCCATAAATTGCTATTAAGACGGAAGACTAATGATCCCTCATCAGTCATCCCTGTCAAAGTACAAAAAAAAAGCAAAAAAAAAAAAAGTCAAATGCTTCACATGTATTGCATTAAAGAGGTATTTTTGCCTATTTCGAATGCAATCCCAGGTTACATTTGGATTTTTCCTATTCATTGTACACATCAACAATTAATTTCTTTGAAAAGAGAATAATAATGACTGATATATGTACAGACACAGAGAGAGAGAGAGAGAGAGAGAGAGAGAGAGAGAGAGAGAGAGCCTGAAGATGAAGAATGCCAAGAGCAAACCTGTGATCCCTTTTATTTTTTCTATTTTAATAAGCACAACTAGGCTTACAATTTAAGGGGAAAAAACTGAATTGGTTTTTGGTTTGATATTTATTTCAATTTGATTTAATCGTAGTCTGAGCAGATTAAAGCTGATGGAGTTTCATATTTTGGGCGAAATATTTATCAAATCAAACCAAAAATATAATGGGTAATCTAATTATATATGAATGAATTTGAAATATATGCAAGTTACCGAATCCAAAATTTATAATTTTTAATTGATTCATGCAACCATTCTTTAAAAATGATATTTATAATAAGTTTAAATTTTAAATTTAAACACTTAAAATTCTTTTATATATTTTCATGCTACAATTTAAACTATATATATATATATATATGCAAGCTAACGTATCTTGTTTAATTTTTTTTTAATAAAATTTGAGTTATACAATGAGATATAATCTAATTATTTGTTATTTTGATAGCTTTGAGATGAAATCTTAAATCTAAAACCTTAATTAGGGCTCCTTCTGGTGAGGATTGAAAAAAAAAAATCTCAAGAAGAGACACACTGAAAAATCAGATGAGAGTAATTACATTAACTGCACTTTATATATTCAACTAGTTTCGTATTGTTGACTTGAGAGTGTGCTTATGCTGACTTGCTCTTTGGTATTATTATGTTCAACAACTCCAGAACGGTCTGTCACCATTGCTTTAATTCAGGTTTCAACATCATCGTTAAGGATGATCATGTCATTTTAAATAAACTAAGAACAGGATTATTAGATGGTATTAGATTTTCAATCCATTAATAAGACCGGCACAGGACTAAAAACCACCATTAACACACTAACCCTGCCGACACTAGGATTTTCTTCGACACTGCCGCTTTGGTTATATATATATATATATATATATATATATTTATATATGAGCATTCATTTGCACTACTTTATAATATTTGAATTATGAATCTGTTAATTAATGTAGTATTTAAAGAATTATTTATCTGTTACGTATTTTTATTTGAAGTTAACTATGTTAAAAGTGAATATCATTTTAATTAATATATTTTAAGTAGCATATTAAAGATTTTCAAAATTTTAGTATGACATTAAATTTTTCACTATAGTTAAGAGACTATTTATAATATTAATCTTTTTCAATTTTAATTTGATCCATATAGTATCATATAAAGGTATTCATGGGTTGAACCAGGTCAGACTTATGTTTGATGTTAATAACTTATATACTTGTTCAAGCCTAGGCTAGTTCAAAATTTCGGATCTCAAAATTTTCTCAAATTCAATCCAAATTAAAAAAATAAATCCCAAACCCACATATTAAACTTAATTTATATAATAAAAAATTTTTAAAATGTGATTAAATTAAATTTAATGATATTATATTTAATTCACATATATATAAATTAAAAATAAAAATTATATAAAAAATTAATTTTAATAAAATATATAATTTTATTTTTAATTTATATATATATATGTGAATTAATTCATATATAATTTACAAATAAATAAAAATAAAAAATTTATATATCCGTGAATTTAGGTTTAGGTTTGGGTTTTAAATCTTTTATCCAAGATTCGACCCAAAATTTAAACGGATCTAAAAATTATGCTCAAACTCGTTTAACTGATTTTAATTTTTTGTCCAAACCCTCTCAAAATTTGAACAAACTTTTGAATTTGTACAGATAATCCGACTTTTGAACAGGTCTAATATTATATAATAATCACTAAGAGCTATTTAAGAGATAATGTTGTTATTTAATCTACAAAACAACTATTCCAAACCTTTCAATTCTAAAATTTTTACTTCTTTATTTGGATTGTAACGTTTTCATATTGTTTAGCATTTACATCATATAAATAAGGTTGGTCCGATTTCTGCTCTTATTTTTCCTTTTTTCATTCTTTGTTTTTAATTTATTTTTAAATTTTAATTTTTAATTAAAAACAAAGCAGAACAAAAAATAAAATCACAAACCAAATGAAGACAATTAACCAACAACAACAAATTCATTCAAATTTACTGGGTCCTTTAAGAATGAGGAGTGAAACCCTAGTTCTTAATTTTTTTTTCTTTTCGGATATACGTCTGAAAATTGCACCACAAATAAAGTGCAACAGCAACAACAAAGAAATTCCAAGTTATATAAAGAAAAGATTAAGAGAAGATGAATTCCGAAATTAATTCATATAGATCTTATATTTGCTCTTAAAAAAATGACATATAACATGTTCAAAATCAAATTTTAACACTTACAACGTCTTCTCTTAAGTCCAAATTAAAAAGAAAAAAATTATGAGAAGATATTTATAATTTATTATGATCCAGTACATATATTTCATAATAATATAGATATACTTGTAATTTACACTTCTTGCTCCTCCCTAGAGAGTGTTATCTTTCTGCTTATAGGCTAGAACGGAAGGCCTAAAAACCCACCAAAAACAAACAAAGAACCCTAATTAAAAGTTGATCGTTTTTCAATACAACCCAACACTATCTCCTAAAGACATGTTAATTAGGTCTTCATGATCCTGAGCTGAACCATCATCCAACAGCCATTTCTCTATCAATGTGAGAGGGACTTGAGCCCCCAAATTGGGCTTGCTTTCATCTTGGAAGACGCTGTTTTCAGTTGTCAAATTGGCGTTCAGATCCGCCGAGACAGATTCATGAGAAACATCTGAATTGGAAGAGTTGAAGCTAAAAAAAGAGTCAAAACCCTCAGATGTAGTTGCACTTAATGCTCCTTCATCACTAGAGCTGGAGCCAGCTGTGGTTGTATTGTTGAAGGAATTCTGAGTCATCGTTTCAGCTGAATTTATTTGATGGGCAGCTGGATTTGGTGGATTTTTCATCCAGTTTTCAAGCAGCCGGGATATGTTTTCAGCACTTGATGCATAAGTAGATGCTTGAGATTGAGATGGTCTTAAGTAAGGGTGAGAGAGACTGAAGTCCTTTGAGTTTGTTAAAGAGTTTGGTTTATCAAGGGACAAAGCCTCAGAAAGGGCCTGTTTAGCCATCCCGATATCTGTTTGAAGCCTTCTCTCCCACTGTCCCTTAGAGACTGATTGAGAAGAAGAGAACCCATCTTGATTTTGGCCATCAACATCTATTTGGAGCTTTTTCAGCTTCTTTTTCAAATGGGTGTTCCAATAATTTTTTATATCATTATCTGTTCTCTGAGGAAGGTAGGAAGCTATGGCAGCCCATCTACACCCAAAAACGGAACATTTCATTATTATTATTATTATTATTATTATTATTATTATTATTATTATTATTATTATTATTATTATTATTATTATTGTTCTCCTTACATCATAATAGAACTATATAGAAAACTAATCTTTGTTTTTGGGATTTGATCATATATATAACCTAATAGGAAAGCAATTTCCACAGGAAACTCATCTTTCTCATCATCTCAACGGGGGAGAGAGAGAGAGAGATATCTTACCTATTGCCTAAAAGGGCTTGGAGATGGATTATCATCTTCTCTTCTTTTTCAGTGAAGCTACCACGTTTAATACCTGGCCGGAGATAGTTCGTCCATCTAAGCCTGCAGCTCTTGCTGCATCTAAGCAAGCCTGAAAAATCAACACAAAAAAAAAGGAAAAAAAAAAGATCTGTGAATAAAACCAGATCCCTAAGAAAAAAGTTAATCCCACACATCAAAGAGAGTAATGGAAGGAATCCAAATGAATTAATGTACAAAAAGATGCCAGTATATTTATTGCACCTCTTTAATGATCACAACAAACCCAAACAAAAAGTGAAAAGCAGACAAATATGAAAAAAAAAAAAAAAACATTTAACACAGATTCTAAAAACCAAGAAAAACGGGATTGAAGTTATGAGGAAAGGAAAACTTTGTCAGCTGAAAATGGACAGAATTGTTACCTGTATTAATAGGAACTGATCTCCAATTTCCTGGACCATGTTCTTGAATATAAGACACCAGTCTGATATCTTCTTCAGGAGTCCATGGACCCTTCTTCACACTGATTTTGTCACAGCATGGAGGTCTACCCATTTCCGCCTTCTTCTCTCTGATCACTCACAGTAGTGCTCTTAAGAGAAGTCGGTGAAGATGAAGAAGATTTGATTTTGGATTTAATATTTATATTGCTATAGAGCTAGAGTTTGAAATCTCTAATTCCTAATTCTACATCCTAAGAGATATGCTGAAACAGACAAGCCTCGAAGGCAAGGGTTTGCCTTGTCTATATATATATATATATAGAGAAGAGACCCAGCACGAAGGTGTTTACCTGACGGCTGACCTGAGTGATGAGGTAAAAGAGATTTGCATCCAAAAGAGTCAATATGGACCGCATATAGCATTTACTCATTGCTGGCCAAAAGTCAGCTATGCATTGACTCTTTCTCTCTCCGCCTCTCTTCGCAAAACCATGTGCTATTCATTGTAGGTATCCTTAGGTTTTTGTTTGATAAAAATACAAAAGCGCGTCGCTAAATGCGTCATCGTTTTTCTCTTCACATTTTAATTTTTTAAAATTTTTTATAAGTGAAATTATTTTATTATTTTTTTCATTAGTTTATGGAATTTTATAAATTTTTAAAAATTTATTTACAAAAATTCATATAATCTTTCAAAAATAAAATTTTAGAAAATAATAAATCATTTCAAAAATAAAATTTTGAAAAATTATAAACTTTTCAAAAATTTAATTTTTTAAAAATTTATTTATGAAAATATTTATAATTTTTCAAAATTTTATTTTTGAAAAGTTATATGATTTTTCAAAAATTTATTTTTAAAAAAGTTGATGACTTTTCAAAATTTTATTTTCAAAAATTTGTGTAAAAAAAGATAATTAAATAATTTTATTTATAAAAAATTTTGAAAAAAAAAATTAAAGTGTGAAGAGAGAAGTCTGGTGCGCATTTAGCAACACTCTGCTAAAAAAATTTAATGATTAAACCATATAAAGTAAGAAATTGATATAAAATCTAACTATTAGATTAATACTTTTTTATTTTTAATTTTTTTCATTCTTTTTTTCGAATAAAACCTTAGAGTTAACAGTGAGAACCCCTAATTTTACTCCCTTACTTATTTATCCTTTTTAATAATGGCCATATTTCATGAATTAGTAGGTGACTAGTTTTTCCAGGATAAGTTAAAATTTGCCCATTTGCATACAAGAGAAGGTTGATTTTTTATGAAAAAATTAATTCAAAACACCATCCTCTCCAAAAATTTTATGATGTGTACATCAATGGGAAAGGATGCCTAAGGTCTTAATTAATTAAGTAGACTTATTAATTTGGATGTGCATCGATATTCAACGGTAATGATGAAATTAATTTATGCATGTTACCCATTACTAATCAGTCATCCTTTTGCATATAAATCGATCTAGCAGCCTTGATAATATTACTTGAACTCAAAATGAAAATAATTATTATCATATAATTATTATCATCCAACAATAATATATCAGATAAAAGTTTTCAATTTTCAAAGGCAATTTATAGGTCATAAACCTTAATTAATGTAATTCACTAATATTTAATAATCTCATAACTAATTGCAATTTGATTTAATAAATTAATTTGAAATCAAGGAGATTGAGAAAGAAAATAACTACATCCGTGCAAAATGCATGCCCTACTCATTTATTAAAGAGAGAAGAAAGGGAAAAAAAATTAATTAAGAATACATTTCCACCAATCGAATTAAATTTTCAATTGTAATCAAACTTGGATAAACACATTTTCCCAAGTTCGAATAGCTTGTTATGGTGACAGCAAATTTTTTTTTTCTCTTGAAAGGGTCAGATCCATACTATCACATAAAGAAAAAAAAAAAGAAAGAAAGAAAGTTAGATTCGTTGAATTAGTATTAAAGAAATCCAAGGGATAATAGCATTAGCATTTCCTTTTACTTTGTGTATATTATAAATTCGGAATATATAGCATATCTAAGAATAAAAAAAATTTTGTTAAAAAATTCATCATAAAGGATTAATGCTTGGCTTCTTACTTGTAGTTCTTCTCAAGCAATCAACATCTGCATTACGAAAATCTATATAATTATTTGATAGCAACTTATGGCCAAAAAAGTTGTTCGTACAATAATTCAATGTTAAATCACACTAACTATTTTTGAAAAAAATTTTAAGTTTAAGTCTTATTTCTTCCAACTTAATTAATTGCTAAATAAAAGGTTTAATACATATATATATATAAAAGGATTAAGACTCAATTTTATATTTTTAGCTAAACACTACTTTATATATCTATATTACATGAGCTAAGCCCAAGTGACTGTTAGTTGTTAATAAATATAAAATTATTTTTAAAAAAACTAATTAATAGTTTTACTATAAAAAAAATTATTAATAATATTACTCTCACGGAATATATAAATATATATAATTTCTCAAACTATTTAAATTAAACAATCATCAAAATAAAGCTTAATTATGTATAAATTCAAGCGATCATAAACTAATTAGTTATACAATTCAATTAATTCATACAATAATCTGAAAATATAATATTCAATAAATTTAAAATTTAAATTCTAATATCAACCACCACTTCTCCTATCTCTAAGCTACAGCCTACTTTATAAAAAAAAATTAATACAACTTTCATTAACTTAAAGCCTCAAATCTCATGCATGTACGAGAATTTATATGAAGGAAAAAAAAAGAAAAAAAAACCTAGGTATAGCTAGCTGATATGCGTTTATGGATAATCACTATAAAATGTCATATACATCCGAGTATCATCATCTAAAGATATTGCTGCTTGATCAGCATTGGTTAGCAAGAAAATATGAGTTTTCTTTGGTTTCTAGTTTTGTTTAATAATTTTCTAGCCGCAATTTCCTTTTCCCTGACGAAGATTCATAACAAAGGAAATAATTTAGTACTCATATATATGGCCATATATAGCATGTATATCTTGGATTATAAATACTCTTGGAAGCTTATTGGCTAAGATAAAGCTTTGTTGTTGATAGACTAAAACCTACTTAAATGAGTATCAACTAGCAAACACATCATTTTTATTTAATTTTCTTTCACATTAATGTCGGTTTTTTTTTTGTCAAACACCTTGGCTTCATCGAAACTGGTTAAGTTAGAACCTTTCACACCGTTTTAACCAAAAAAAAAAAAAAAAAAAAACCTTAGGGCTTTTATTTTCCTTCTCTTTTGAGGTTTTTATTTTTCAAAATCCTTGCAATAATATGGATTAAAATCCCAAAATTTATTAATACTTGAAAATGACCAATGAAAGGAAATTAGGGTATTTTTTGTTCTAAAAAATATATTAATTTATATGGTACAGATAGAAGTTACTAGAGGTGATATTCAACTTGTTTGAGTTTCAAATTTTAGCATTTGCAATTCTTTGTATGTTCTAGCTATACCTTTGTTAAAAAAATAATAATAATAAAATTACCATATTGAAAGTTTGTGAAATCAAAGTTACAATGGGCCTACTAATGCAAGTTAATTAGGATTTTATTGAAGAGTTTTGAGGTCACAATTGGATGGTCTATATTGTGATTGTGAGTTGCAGGATTATAAGAATGACACAGAGAATGAATGGTGAAACCTGTGCATTGGTTTGGGCCCTTCATTGAATATAATGAAAATGATAGAAAATGAGACCTTACTTTGCCTCGGAAGGGAACCAGCAATTTATGACCCTTTGATATTTATCTCTCAAGCACTCATTCGTAGACACATCCTTTGGAAACCAAAAAATTAATATATCGTTTTTTATTTATAAATTTTTCATATATATGATTTAAAATCATTTGAAAACAAACAAAATTTAAATATTAATTGACTAGAAAGAAATAACAATCTTTTATTTTTAAAATTAATCTCGATAATCTTTTTTTGTAATCATGGAGAAATATGAATAAAACATGTAAAATCTTTATTTCTATGTTTGATATTATTTACATACATTGTTATTATCGACTTTGGGATCTTTAGTCAAAACATCAATTCAAAGTTTTGTAGAATTTGATTTTATTATTGATCCTAAATCTTAACAAATCAAATTAGTCAAACTAATAATCTTCCACAAAAGTTATATCAAAAGAAGCATAAATAATAAGTTCGATTCCTCTTATCAACTTTTTTTTAGATAATTTGTAAGTTCAATATAAATTTTTATTGAAATTTGTCACATGTCTTAATCTTGAAATAAATAACCCCTTCATCTAAACTTTTTTTTAATAAAAAAAAGCATCATTAATTATTGATAATTTAAAATAAAATATATCTCATATTGGATAAAAAGATTTAAAAATCGTGTTTCATATTTGTTGTATGTTTTATATTTTTTAAATGTTTGTTTTGTTTTATTATCAATTTTTTGAATTTGAAAATATGTTTGGATAAAATATTTTTGTTGTACAAATATAAAAATAAAAATATATAAGAGAAAGTGATTAAAACTTTTAAATACTAAGGGGAAGAGGTTCAATTCTAGGTAGATGTAAAATTTTAAAATTATAGCAGTATTATAGTGGTACTGTAGCTGAACGGGTGAACACTACCCTTGCGTTAATAGTATCGAAAATATTTTTAAAATTTTGAAAACATAATTTTTCTGTTGTTAATGATCTTCAAAACTTTTTAAAAATTTTTTCTCAAATTTTTAAAATAGAAAATGAAAATAACCTATCAAATATGTTTTTTTTTTTAATTTTTTAAAAAAAATTTAAAAATAAAAATAGAAAATGAAAATGTTACCAAACAACACCTTAATTATTGTTGGATAGACTTAATTTTAATTTTAATTTCATTCATATTCTAAATAATTATTTTTAAATAAAAACGATTATTATATGACAAATGATTATAATTGTTTGAATATAAATAGATAATTGTTCATATAAGTCATGACTCATGAGTATACAAATGGTCATAACCATTTAAATAAAAATTTATGTTTGTTCATTCATTGTATATAAATCTTTTAATATAACAATTTTTACTACTTTTAATTGAAGAGTTTGAGGATTTATTGTATATTAGAGGCATATTTTCCTTTAAAAAAATGTTATTCACACCTTAAAGCTAAATTTTTTTTTATTACTCCTATTCTCTTATTTATTTGTTTAACAATTTAAAGTCAATTTTATGAAATTCATATTTCGCATGATGAAAATATAAAGAAAAGAAATTGGCAAAATTTACTTTTGAAACATGCATGAAAAGTCTCAAATATCCAAATGGTTTAATGGTGAAATACATACTAAAAATCAGATAAGTTTTTTGTTTCTTCTTTCTAGTTTTTATGTTCTATTAAGAGAATTTATGT